ATGAGGTGACTCTGTAGCCTGTCACATTATTCTGACAGTGTACTTACCTCTGAGGTGACTCTGGAGCCTGTCACAGTATTTTGAAAGTGTAGTTACCTCTGATGTGACTCTGGAGCCTGTCACAGTATTCTGACAGTGTATTTACCTCTNTTATAAACCCTATACCATATTAGTTACAATATAACCCCTATTCCATATCAGTTACATTATAAACCCTATAACATATTAGTTACAATATAACCCCTATTCCATATGGGGGACATTATAAACCCTATACCGTATCAGTACCAATATAAACCCTAAACCATATCAGTCACAATATAACCCCTATTCCATATCAGTTAAAATATAACCCCTATTCCATATCAGTTCCATTATAACCCCTATACCGTATCAGTTACAATATAACCCCTATTCCAAATCAGTTACAATATCAACCCTATACCATATCAGTTACAATATAAACCCTATACCATATCAGTAACATTATAAACCCTATACCGTATCAGTTACAATATAAACCCTATACCATATCAGTTACAATATAAAGACAATACCATATCAGTTACAATATCTGGAGCCTGTTACAGTATTCTGACAGTGTGCTTACCTCTGAGGTGACTCTGTAGCCTGCCACAGTATTCTGACAGTGTACTTACCTCTGAGGTGACTCTGGAGCCTGTCACAGTATTCTAACAGTGTACTTACCTCTGAGGTGACTCTGGAACCTGTCACAGTATTCTAACAGTGAAGTTACCTCTGAGGTGACTCTGTAGCCTGTCACAGTATTCTGACAGTGTACTTACCTCTGAGGTGACTCTGTGGCCTGTCACAGTATTCTGACAGTGTACCTTCCTCTGAGGTGACTCTTGAGCCTGTCACAGTATTCTGACAGTGTACTTACCTCTGAGGTGACTTTGAAGCCTGTCACAGTATTCTGACAGTGTACTTACCAGTCTGAGGTGACTCTGTCGCCTGTCACAGTATTCTGACAGTGTACCTTCCTCTGAGGTGACTCTTGAGCCTGTCACAGTATTCTGACAGTGTACTTTCCTCTGAGGTGACTCTGGAGCCTGTCACAGTATTCTGACAGTGTAGTTACCTCTGAGGTGACTCTGGAGCCTGTTACAGTATTCTGACAGTGTATTTACCTCTGAGGTGACTCTGTTGCCTGTCACAGTATTCTGACAGTGTAGTTACCTTGGAGGTGACTCTGGAGCCTGCCACAGTATTCTGACAGTGTACTTACCTCTGAGGGGACTCTGGAGCCTGTCACAGTATTCTGACAGTGTACTTCCCTCTGAGGTGACTCTGGAGCCTGTCACAGTATTCTGACAGTGTAGTTACCTTTGAGGTGACTCTGGAGCCTGCCACAGTATTCTGACAGTGTACTTACCTCTGAGGTGACTATGGAGCCTGTAACAGTATTCTGACAGTGTACTTACCTCTGAGGTGAATCTGAAGCCTGTCACAGTATTCTGTTAGTGTACTTACATCTGAGGTGACTCTGTAGCCTGTCACAGTATTCTGACAGTGTAGTTACCTCTGAGGTGACTCTGGAGTCTGTCACAGTATTCTGACAGTGTACTTACCTCTGAGGTGACTCTGGAGCCTGTCACAGTATTCTGACAGTGTAGTTACATGTACCTCTGAGGTGACTCTGTAGCCTGTCACAGTATTCTGACAGTGTACTTACCTCTGAGGTGACTCTGGAGCCTGTCACAGTATTCTAACAGTCTACTTACCAGTCTGATGTGACTCTGGAGCCTGTCACAGTATTCTGACAGTGTAGTTACCTCTGAGGTGACTCTGGAGCCTGTCACAGTATTACAATGTATGACAGTGTACTTACCTCTGAGGCGACTCTGGAGCCTGTCACAGTATTCTGACAGTGTACTTACCAGTCTGAGGTGACTCTGGAGCCTGTCACAGTATTCTGACAGTGTAATTACCTCTGAGGTGACTCTGGTGCCTGTCACAGTATTCTGACAGTGTAGTTACCTCTGAGGTGACTCTGTAGCCTGTCACAGTATTCTGACAGTGTAGTTACCTCTGAGGTGACTCTCTAGCCTGTCACAGTATTCTGACAGTGTACTCACCTTTGAGGTGACTCTGTAGCCTGTCACAGTATTCTGACAGTGTAGCTACCTCTGAGGTGACTCTGTAGCCTGTCACAGTATTCTGACAGTGTACTTACCTCTGAGGTGACTCTGAAGCCTGTCACAGTATTCTGACAGTGTACTTACCTCTGAGGTGACTCTGCAGCCTGGCACAGTATTCTGACAACACGTGTACTCACAAGTCTGATGTGACTCCCAGTTGTTACATGGTGTTTTTGCTGTGTTCTTGGTCACTGTAACAATTTCTGTATTAATTGAGAATTTAACATGAAGCAGAATAAAGCTGTTTTTTATTTCATGTATTAGTCTCCATTAAAATTCTCATTGATATCGACGTTTGTTAATAGAAATGTTCTGTTTGCTTAAAACTTAATTGAGCTTTAAAACATTTTTTTCCTAGACTGTTGTGGAGCGTTATATTATTTAATAACCACTTTCACGGTCGGTGTTGTACTTAATTACAAATATATTGCAGGTGGTTCATCAATATTCATGAACTACTTCAGAGTGAACCAAAATCAATATCAGTCTTTTTTTCAAAGCTGTTACATTATCTATCAACATAAAAATACATTGTGTTAGAAATATTACCTGGTTAGTTTGTATTCCGTTCACATGATGAAATAGAAAGAATTCCTATTTGTGAAGGTATTTTTTTCTGATTTTGACCGATCAGGAAAATACAGAATTTTATTATTTGATTGAATCAATAGCAAAGTGAGTAGTTTGTTTACTTCACTTTGATAATCAGACTATATAAAATATCAACCTATAGCGAGCAAACCGTGATGGACAGATATGGCCAGTAGTCATCACTTTGGCCTTCAGTACAGACTGACAGGGTTTGATGCCCTTGTTGCTTGTCTTAGCATGGATTATTCAGAAAAAGCGTATTTCTCTTGTCCATATCATTCCAAAATTCAGTTGGGGTATAAAATGGTCAGGGGTGGGTGTTGGTATGAAGTTGTCTGGGATGGGTGTGGTATAAAATGGTCTGTGATGGGTGTTGTATAAAGTGGTCAGGGGTGGGGGCTGGTATAAAATGGTCTGGTGTGGGTGTTGGTATAAAATGGTCAGGGGTGGGTGTTGGTATAAAAGGGTCTGGGGTGGGTGTTGGTATAAAATGGTCAGGGGTGGGTGTTGGTATAAAGTGGTATATTTTGGGAGTTGGTATAAAATGGTCTGGGGTGGGTGTTGGTATAAAATGGTCAGGGGTGGGTGTTGGTATAAAATGGTCTGGTGTCGGTGTGGTATAAAATGGTCTTGGATGGGTGTTGGTATAAAATGAGTTTGGGTGGGTGTTGGTATAAAATGATCAGGGGTGGGTATTATTATAAATTGTCAGGTGTGTGTGTTGGTATAAAATGGTCTGGGGTGGGTGTTGGTATAAAATGGTCAGGGGTGGGTGTTGATATAAAATGGTCTGGGACGGTCAGGGGTGGGTGTCGGTATAAAATGGTCAGGGGTGGGTGTCGGTATAAAATGGTCTGAGATAGGTGTTGGTATAAAACGGTCTGGGTTGGATGGTAGTATTAAATGGTCTGAAGTGGGTGATTATGTGTCTGTGCTGTGCTGTAGAATACAAGTGAGGTGGCAATATGAAACATAATGTCACTTGAAGAATATGGCATAAGGTTGTAGTAATCGCCAGAGGAGGCAGATCTTGTGAATTCCTAAAAAATCGCAAGAGGCCTTTTACAAAACATGGTCTCATCCGAATGAATATTGAATACTTATTTGATCTAAGGTCTGTCGATATAGAATACCAGGTGGGTTTAAGTTTTGAGTTTATACAGGTGGCAGTTTTTAGACAAAACTCCCCATCTCTCCTGAGTAGTAAGTTATAAGTGATATGCTTTTTGACATCAGTGAATATGGTACATGATTGATTTCAATTAAAAACAATTCAGCATGAAATGTGTTCAATCTTTCACTTTGTTTTTTTCAGTACTGTTTCACGATCACCTATAAGAGTGAGGGCCAGCGACAGTACGACCTCCGGACTGACACAGAGTCTGAATGTAATGCTTGGATCGACCACATCAAACGGGCACCGTGAGTAGTATTCCTGGTATTATTACAAAACTAAACTGTACAAACCTCTATCTGGCATGTAAGCCAGATCCAAATGAATTAGGAAGTTCTACAAAATTGGGAAAAAAAGGAATATCATATAATTATTTGGTACATTTTTGTAAATCAGTGAAATTTTGAGGTACAGAAAGTTCCCGAAGAAGATAGCAATTGACCAGGGTAAGGGTAGGGTATATATACAATAAAACAAGATATTATTTGACCATGGTAAGGGTAGGGTATATATACAATAAAACAAGATATTATTTGACCAGGGTAAGGGGAGGGTATCTCTACTATAAAACAAGATATTATTGGACCAGGGTAAGGGTAGGGTATCTCTACTACATATGTATTACATGTGTAGAAGAGATAGTTAATAGGTTAGCAGTGAAATATTGATTTAAATGAGAAGGTCGTTGATGTATGTAGGGGGGCGGGAGACCAGACAAGATCTGACAGAATTAGGTCAGCAGATTTACTTTTCCCTGGTGTTTTGTTTTTCAATGATGATCTGTCCAGTGATCCCCCTTGGTCATTGTATCCTTGATATCATTTAGTATGGGGTCTTCTTGTTTCTGGCCTTGCACTAAGTGTATCTGCCCAGATGTTTGTCACTTGAAATTCATGAGCTTTGAACTCTGATACAATGTACTTTACAAAAGAAGCACTATGTAGTGATTTACATAAAATAGGAGACAATAATAAGGTGGAAACCAGAGATAGATGTCTAAAAATGTTATTACAATTGTCATGATATATGTTTTAGATATTCAAAGTCGATAGATCAGTCTTAAATTATTCCAAAGGGAGTTTAACAAAAGTTGAAATATGCAAATTGGTGACATATCACTGGTCTATTCTATTGACTTGTATAACAAATCAAAATAACAAATTTAAACCAAAACAACCATGACATTACCAGGTAAATTGACCTCAGAGTAGTTTCTACTGGAACTATCAGGAACTATTGTATATGGGTGTTATTACTATCGGCTGCCTACACATAAATGTCATGATTACTGTAGTTTACTACAGGAAATAACTTCTCTGATAAGTAGACCATAGTGCATTGTGGTCTGTCGAGGTTCTATACTGTCGTCTCCGTGGTGAGTGGATTGGTTTAAAGAAACAAAATATCTTTTTGAAATAGAATAAAATTCTGACAATAAATTCTTCATTTCAAATTTGAAAATGGAAACAAACCTCTTCAAATATTTGCTTGCGGAGAATGGTATTTCCTGACTTTTTTTGGAGTCTTTCTACATACATTTTGCAATTGTACGCTTGACGACTTATAAACAAAGGGCCTCATATTGTAAGGGGCTATGTTTTAAATGCCTCATCGCTTCTTCGAAACAGAGGGGAAATATACTCAATAAAAAAGTCTTAACAGAGGCATTTCCTACAGGCCGAATAACTTCATATTAAAAGTGTAGTGTGGTGGGGAGAGATCCCCTCTAGGCTGATGTATAGGATAGACGAAGGCTAGGATTGGACAGCATCCATCGGCTTCCTCACGTGTACACTGCGTACATGTAGCATCAGGGGAGGCATCTGCCAAAACAACCTTCCAAATGATACATCAGTTTTGTGGGTAATTTGTGATACGGAGGCTGCCCCTTGGGTTATTGACTAACTCTACAGTGATACTACTTATCGTGTGAGCCCTGTGGGAGTCAGAGAACAAAAGCTATGTTAGGGCCCACTTCGCAATGATCCCGAATCTCTGTATTAATTTACACTCATGTCAATGTGATTTGTTTGGACTTCTTTTCGCTCTAATCTCTAGAGATGGTTTCTGGCTGCCATGCACGCTTTTTTATCAACATTGGACGACAATGTTAACGTCGATGTGATTTACCTCTATATAGTCTGTTGTATTCGAGGTCTGTAGTTGGTTTGTAATGCTAACACAATGGTCTTTCATCAGTCTCTACGAAATGTTATTAATGTCGGACAGCACTGGAAGCTATTGTAGGTAACACAATATCACTGGCTGTCTATTCCATTTCACACTTGCTAAATCCCATCAGTCCGATCGTGCTCTGTGGATGCTGCAGTAGATGTCCCTATAGCCCAGGGTTCCATGCCATGTAGCAGTCTTCAACCACACAAAGCCAAAATTACCTCCTAAAACAAACGAATGATTTCGAAATAGGAGGCTCAAATGAAAAAAAAGGAATTGTATCAAAACAAAGTGGGTGAAAACTATGTGAGATGAAAATATCAAATATACAGAATTTAGAAAACAATATATATTTTGCTGCAAATTTCTCAAAAAAAGGAAGAAGATTTTTTTCAGTGATCCACACTTTAAAACAGCTCAATAGTATCCTTGTTGGTCAGATTTTTATATTGATCACATGACTAGCTGACAAATGTGGATGTCAAAAATGGGTATTGAATTCTGAGTTCAAAATTTGCCACAGAGACATAATCTCTTTTCTTTATTCACTTTTGAAAAATAAAAATAAAAGAGTAGTAGCAATGTTTTCAAAGCTTTAACTCAAAATGCTCTTTAATTCTAGTCTAGGTCCAAAGTCACTGGCTATGACGAAGAGTCTAATGACGAGGAGGGGTAATACAACTAGACACATGGGTAATACAACTAGACACAGGGGTATTACAACATATCGTATGATATCATAGTCTGAGGTTCAGAAGCTCGTATTGCATGGCCTGAAAACAGGATGTATCACTATAGTCAGATTCACCTGATATGTAATAGATTGATTTATTACATCTTTGTCTATATATCTCTATATTAATGTAATATGACAATAAATGCTGTAGCTCTCCAGGCTTATAATAGGTTACACAGGGAACCCCTGACATGAGAAACAAATCAAAGGCGGTCCTGCTTAGAATGGTGATTGGTTTTGGATTGCAGCATCACTGCTAATGACAGTGACAGAACTGCTGATGATAGTGACAGAGTCGATATGGCTCTCACTAGGTTCCCAGAGTGACAGAGTCGATATGGCTCTTACTAGGTTCCCAGAGTGACAGAGTAGATATGACTCTCACAAGGTTCCCAGAGTGACAGAGTCGATATGGCTCTCACTAGGTTCCAAGAGTGACAGAGTCGATATGGCTCTCACTAGGTTCCCAGAGTGACAGTATATATGACTCTCACTAGGTTCCAAGAGTGACAGAGTCGATATGGCTGTCACTAGGTTCCCAGAGTGACAGAGTCGATATGGCTCTCACTAGGTTCCCAGAGTGACAGAGTCGATATGGCTCTTACTAGGTTCCCAGAGTGACAGAGTAGATATGACTCTCACAAGGTTCCCAGAGTGACAGAGTCGATATGGCTCTCACTAGGTTCCCAGAGTTCCAGAGTCGATATGGCTCTCACTAGGTTCTCAGAGTGACAGAGTCGATATGGCTCTCACTAGGTTCCAAGAGTGACAGAGTAGATATGGCTCTCACTAGGTTCCCAGAGTGACAGTATATATGACTCTCACTAGGTTCCAAGAGTGACAGAGTCGATATGGCTGTCACTAGGTTCCCAGAGTGACAGAGTCGATATGGCTCTCTCTAGGTTCCCAGAGTGACAGACTAGATATGGCTCTCGCTAGGTTCCCAGAGTGACAGACTAGATATGGCTGTCACTAGGTTCCCAGAGTGACAGAGTAGATATGGCTCCCACTAGGTTCCCAGAGTGACAGAGTTGATATGGCTGTCACTAGGTTCTTAGAGTGACAGAGTAGATATGGCTCTCACTAGGTTCCCAGTGTGACAAAGTCGATATGGCTGTCACTAGGTTCCCAGAACTGTTTCTGTGGTAGTATCAGCTATAAACTATATTAAGTTTGGGACTTCTGAATGTAGATTCTGGCAAGTTTCTGGATCTCCTCAACCGAGTCTATTTCCTGAGGCGAAAGACAAGAGTTTGCAAATAACAATGATGAAACCAAGGTCACAGCATAACAAATGGTCTACAAGTTTGGTTTGTATCAGTTTAATAAAACAGTAACAGACTGGACTTTCAGGAAATGACCATTTTATTGTCCATTCAAGACCAACTGTTTTCCTCTGTCTTTAGCCCCGAGAAAATGTTCGCCTTTCATCGGCAATAAAGTGACTATTTCTTATAACATGATGTAACAGTATACTTTTTCACTGGATGATCACATGACATTAAACAACGTCTGTTTTGCGAACACCTACTATTGTCAGCGTAGAATCAAACATAAGCATCCTAGATCACTTTCTAACTTATTTAACATTTTGAGACCATCTTGTGTTTATTACCAGAGATTGCTGGGTACTTTGGAGAGCTGAGTGTCTGTGGCCGGCTTTATAGGTGGCCATGTCACATGTCAGCACAGAGTGTCTAGATCTATTATCTCTGCTGTTGTTTTGAGAGTAAAGAACTGTTATCTCTGCTATTGTTTTGAGAGTACAGAACTGTCATCTCTGCTATTGCTTTGAGAGTACAGAACTGTCATCTCTGCTGTTGTTTTGAGCATAAAGAACTGTTATCTCTGCTGTTGTTTTGAGAGTACAGAACTGTTTGGTTTTTTTATCATATTTTATTTTTGATTGTTCACATGAGTACACTAGAGTACATGCCACTTATTACATTTTACCACATACCTATTGTATCTTGTTATAGTAATACAAGCAATTTTCAGATCATGAAATACAACGTTCTGTATTGCACATGTGCAATACGGAATGTTGTATTTACCTACTAGCCGGAACTACTTTTTTATGGGAATCCCCTTGTCATGGCGAACTGAAAGGTTCCCGCTATTTGCAAAAAATATCAAAATTTATAAATACTTTGTATCGATCTCTGCCAAATACGGAAGGTATGTGATAAAAGCAATACCACACTCATTTATTGCGCGGACGTATATATTACCTCGTGCGCTCCGCGCACTCGTGAATATATATTCGTCCGCGCAATAAACTCGTGCTTTCTGATTCGTTAGAAAAAACACAAGTGTGTGGTATTTGCAAAAAATATC